GAGGCGCCGCGCGCGGGGAGGGGGGGACGCCTCGTCTCCAGCGCTCAGGAGCGAGAAGAGACCGAAGAGCCGTAAACGAGCAGAGGGAAATAACTTGGGGGAGATAGCAAGAGGGACTAGCGTAAAGCAAGGCGCTCACTGAATTTAAGCTTCGCGCGGAGCGGGAGCGTCCTTGGCACGGTGCTGTGGGGCCGGCGCGCTGTCACCCCGGCAGCGCAGTCGTTCCCTTTACGACTGGAGAGAAGCGGAGCGAAGGAAGAAGTCAAACATCAGACTTTTAGTCTCCGAGTCCTGACGGCCTGTGTCAGAGCGTGCGCAGAGAAGGGTCCGAGGGCCAGAAGGACTGGAAGGACCACACGACGCACAGCGGAGCTGAGATCCCCACACTGGGCAGCCGTAGGACGTGCTGGCGGACTCCTGGTGCGCCGGTTGAGAGATACTGTCAAGTTTGTGGCATGCGAATATCGGGAAGGACAGAAACCTGAGTTGGACTAAGCCACTTTGGGCCCCTGCTTTATTAGCGGATGAGTAGATTGCGATTGTGGGATGACTGGTTACAGTCGTGTCATCTAGCTCCTCTAGTCCTCTAGTCCTCTTCCAGTTAAGGTGGGTGGTCTTTGAAGAACTGCTGCATCTTTTAGAAAGACATGTGCGTAGTCTTAATTCAACACCTTAAGAGTCCCATCAGAGGCCATAGTGTTTAAAAGGGATCACTATTCTGACTTTTAGATATTTGCATTTTATTTCCCGTTTGCATGTGTCTAAAACGTAACTTCAAGTCATGCAGCTTTTGTCTTTGTCGGGCCCTGGCTGTAATGGTGGGAGCCTGCTTTGAGGCTCTGTTTTCCTAGAATCAAGTGGAGCTTGGCTCACATAGATCTTGTTGAAATTTTCAAATGCTGTGTGTGGAGTGTTAAACAAGTAGGTTTTGGAACTGCCCTACTTGTCAGTTCCAGAATTTTATGTAGTCACTTGTGATGGTAAAAAAATGGCATGTTGGTTATGGCCCAAATTCTAAAAAAAAATCAGGTGCCCTTTTCCACTGACATCAGTGGGCTGTGGGCCTCTAAGCTCCATAGAGGATCTGGGCCTCCACTGGCCATTCAGCAACATGCGAAATGCCTTGTCCTGTCTATCTTATGGATGGAAGAGGTTCTCCCCTCATGTCTGTTCCACTATCATACCACTGGTGAATTACGTGGCCTTTTTTGGTCGCCACATATGCAGTATATTCCGGTTGATCTATAGCGTCTACACTGTGAACCAAGTCAACAGATGAGGAGATGCGATTTAACAATATTAAGTAGTCAGAATGGTATTTTCTTGTTGCAATCATTCCAGCTTTTCTTTCCAAGTAATATATTTTGAGAAGAGTTTGGGCTATCACTGGAAAAATTGACATCTTCATTTTTGCAGTTTTCTGATTCTTAAATATCTTGCCACCAGGTATGAGCATCCTTCAGAAGAAAGAGGACATTTTTTCAGACTGTAGAAAGAAATTTTGGAATACATATAAGGTGAGGCAAGCAATTCCCTTATCTCCTAGTTAGGCACAAAATATATATAATTGGATAAAATATTTGAAGTATGAGACCTTCTTCCAACATCCTTCCTCTCTCTTCATGATTTGATTATATGTGGGAAACTTTAGGTACCAGCAGTCATCTGAAGTCAGGGTAATCTGGAGCAGTCACCACTGCCAGATGGGTAAAATGATGCCATTCCAAAAATGTACAATATATATACGTAACACTTGCACCTGGCTCTGTTATGTTAGAATGGGCGCCCTACAATACAACACCGATAATTGTATCGTAAGATTACATTACCGTCTATCTTGAGAAGTACCCACACACCAGTGATTAGTTAGTAATGCCATTGCCAACACTTAACATGAACACCTGTTAAAAACGTTAGAGAGACATCTTTTTTAGGAATCATTTTCAGCCTCTTCTCACGGACAGTTTTCTCACTTACAGAAACACAATCCCCTGTTTTAAGAAGACTTAGATATAAATAGTTGGTTTTAGCTAACATTTCAGTATACACCGGAAAAAATTATCTATATTATCCCAGAGCTGAGCCAATTAAGAATTGTAAAGATTTCCCAGGGCCAAGCAAAAAGACAGTTTAGCAGAAAAATACAACAGAATGAGAAACTGTGATGTAATAGGCATTTCTCTTCACATGGTGTAACTACATAGGCAGGATAAAAAGGATTATTTTTATTACTGTAGAGGACGATTCTAAAAACAGTGCCCACTATATCTTATCAAATCGTAAGGCTGCTATTGACCTTATGTTCTTTGAGTAAATTATCAGATGGTTTTTGCAAAAAAACCTTACGTGCGTGAGTAACTAGAAGGAGCATTGCAAGTGTGAAATAAATAGTGTTCAGTGGTATTTTTCATTCATTGCTGAAACAAATGTTCACATATTTAAACATTTGTTCACCCATCTGGTAAATGTGCTTATGTATCTGGTGCCAGGTGACTACAAAAACTTACTGTGCTTAGAGTTTTGTATCTAAAATGAGTTAAAATAATATTTCTGAGAAACTCAGCATAGCAGCTTGTGAAGGTGGTAGCGGTTTATTACTGCAGCCTCTAACTTAAACAGCTTAGTCTACATTTGAACATCTTTTATTAACTTTGTTCAAGTACATTTTAGTCTTTGCTAAGCGTGCTAAGAAAAATGAGTCTTTGTGGTTGAAGTCCGAAAGAGTAACAATGACTCGTTTTCATTTCAGACCGGGCTGATGTACTGGCCTTTCGTGCAGGTGAGTTTCAGAGTAACTCAGTGAGCCTTTCTTTGTCATAAAACCTGATCCTGTACGTTCACGGTGTACCTACCCCAGTGAGAAGCCAGGGGACTTCTCAGTCAGTAGACTTAAGACCTGGCAATGCCTGGAGCACTAACTGCGCTCTCTCTCCTTCCAATGCAGCTGTCAAACTTCATGTTGGTCCCCGTTTACCTGAGAACAGCTTACACTGGGCTCTGTGGCTTTCTCTGGGCTACCTTCATTTGCTTTTCCCAACAGAGTGGAGATGGCACAGCAAAGTCAGCATTTGTGTGGTTCCAAGGAGAGGAGGTCAATGCAGATGAAGAACCATCAGAGAAATAAGAACTTTAGTTCTGAACCCATTCTAACTTGGTAAACCGAGTTTATGAAAGCCAGAAAACTGCACTGCAGCCCCATTGCTGTGTTTAGAATAAACAGTCGTCCCAGCATTTGTTGGTTAGTATAAGCAGTGGAACAGTTTGTCTTTGTGCCTGGTTATTTTTCATAAAAGAGGCCAATTGTATATTGGCACTTAATTATTTTCATGCTGCCAGCCCATCTCCTCTGGGAACGACTGACTGTTACAGGGCAGCGTAAGCATTTGCACATCATGTCAGCCAGCCTCGCTGGGGAGAAATATTAACTGTAATTTAATTTTCAAGCAACTTGTAATTGCTAGAAAAGGGGGAATAGAACATTAAATCATCAGTGGTCATACTTGACAATTGTTATCAGCGCGGGACTGCTTTTGCAGAAGAAAATTTAACAGACTTCTTATCTAAAAAGTGGCATTGCATCTGTATTACTCAGAGGAAAAAAGTACTCTATTTTGTAGGGGCCATTTCTCTGCAGGGACAAACTTGCTTTATTCTGCATTACAATCTATATAGAAAATAAATTACTTCATAGAATGTACATTTTTACATCTCCTAACTTAACTGGGAGAACGACGATAACTTATTTCAGCCAGTGTTCTTTGGGATTCGTTATGATGCTGCATATTCACGCTTGGGGGAAGCATTGGTCATAAGCAGCTCTCGCAGCAGAACCTAACTAAACCCTGTGCCGTGAGCTGCTGTCATACCTGTATACTGCTTATTCCTGTGTCTCTCAAGGGACAAAGTATTAAAGAGCACATGGAAGCCTTGCCACTTTTCCATTGTTTCATTTAGTCAAGACTTCATTAAGATTTTGAAGAAAAAGAGCATGAGAAAGACAGTAATGTGAATGCCAGAATCCCTCTCAAAACAGTCCAGCTATATATAAGGAATATATAAGGATATATATATATATCTTCCACGTATATATAAGCAACATTTCTTCTTCAAGCGGCTTTTAAACATTCCTATTCATAAGAGACACTGGCTTATAGTAACTACACATAGGAAACTAGGAGGAGGTTAACTAGGCTTCGTTAAACTGAGAGTCAGGTCTGTATGCAGGTGTGCTCATCACTGTTTTTTAAATGTTTACATGTATCTCAGAACAGGAACTGTGCAAATTTCTGTAATTGCAGTAAGTTCAAAGCAGACTAATAAAGGAGCCCTTTATTTATTAGAATGGGATTTTATGCCTTGAGGTTACTAAGCTGTAAGCTTGAAACAGTATGTGATTTAACACGTCTTGACGATAACTGGAAAGGTAAGACTCAACCCTCTTTGTTATATGAATAATAAACCCCTTTGGGGAGTGTCTGAATTCCTCAGTCTTGTCTCAACAGTAAACCAAAGCCTGCTTAGGCTGTAAAAGTGCATTCCTTTTGCAGGCGGCTATACTACTTACTGTATTATCGCTTGCAACTGTTTGTCACTGCAGGAGCCTGCTGCTGCATGGCTTAGACAGGGAAAGGGATCATGCAAGCGCTGCCCAATCTACTCCAGGTAAAATCAACTTGGTTAGCCTAATGCAGAGGTCAAGAGTGGTAGCCCATATGGCTTTGACTGCAGCAGATGGGAAGAGGGTAAATTTTAGAGGCGGGGGGGTGCTGCTTCTACAGCCTGTTTTGCTGGCAGACGGGTGGAGGAGGTAGCGTCCCTCTCACGGATGACAAGTCACTGCAGTTAGTTCATCTTCAGCTGGCACAGGCAGACCTGGAAGAGGGCACCTGACTACAGTCTTAAGGTGGAATTCATTTTAATTGACTTTAGACGTGTAGTGTGGACATCTACAACGTGGATACTCAGTTTCAGCTCTCTCTATTGTTAGTGGGGGTAAATAGGCAGTTTTAGATAGCTGTTGTCGAGTGAGATGAATTATGCACTGTAAGTGCCCATTTCTTCCCATCAATAATACACCCTTGGGCGACTAGCTCCTATGTAGATAGCTTCATTGTAGTTTATTATATTTGGTCTGGTGAATCCCCTGCTTGGTGTCTGTTTTAGATGTCCCTATGGGAGTAATTCTGTGGGTGTTGCTGCTTGGATCCCCCAGTGTGAATTGGGCAGTCTTGAAGCTGGATATCCCAGCTGGACTGAAAATCCACAGAGGACCGAACTGCATTTTATCTGTCTATTTAAAAAAAGAAAAGAAGAGTGAATGGATATTTTCAGGCTGCTGTAGCTGCTGAAGTGTTACTGTGTGTATATGTTTAAAGTCCTCAAGATAAAAAGGGAATGTCATTATTTTTTTTCTGTTAATATTTTTAGAATCAGAATTATGTTCAGAGTCTGTTCTATTCAGTGAGAGTTACATTACCACACAACGTCTTACATTATACTTAAAAGTTTTAGATGAGGTGTGCTAATGATTTTCTTTAACAGCTTTTATTTTTATTTCTGCTTATGCCTTAAGCATTTAATGATTGATATAATTCATTTGGAAAAAGGAGAGTGCTATAGGGGTGTTTTGCTGCATGCTGTAAGCAGAATGCCCTGTTATACTGCAACTCAGTGGGGGGAAAAAAAAATTTCTGCATAGGTATAGGTAGTAAAACCTAAGCCCCAGGAGAATCAAGAATTTGAGTCTGTCCTCATGATCTGTATAATTCTGATGCTTTTATTCAGC